TTACAACACCAGGAATACATTGTCATGACAACATGATGGTTTCATAAATGTTAGGTTATTTAATATTACTATTATCTGTTTATATCAGCACTGTAGACACTCGAGCAGTAAGTTTATAGGAATATAGATATGGAGGAGTTCATATTAACCCTGAAGTTGATTATTTTCCTAGAACAGCACGTCCTGAAATGTTTTATTCTTCCTGTACTGCAGCAAACAACTACACATCATACTTTTGTATCCATCTATAATTTATAGTCATAAAAATGCCCATGAAAGGAGTTCCTGTTATTACTTACGTTATAGCAGCGATAACACTCAGTCCTTCAACATGCAGCCTGTTTTTTTCCTTACTGAGAAACTACAAACTCTAAACGCCTCTGTTCTGAAGACTTTCCTGCTGGAATTAGTGTCAGAGCTGCTGTTATAGAAAATGAAGCAACACCTTCTGACCAATCAGAATCGAGAGTTCAGAGCCTGTCATGTTTGCATTATTCTTATGAAGACATTTTATAGTGCAATATGTTTTACTTGTTTTTGAAGTGTATGCATTGAGAAGTTTGCTCTAAGCCTGGGATTGCTGTGCTTTGGGAAAATAAAATGGTAGAAATCCTCTAGCAGATGCCATTATGAACACCATGAGGCCACAGGTTAACAATTACAATTAACAATATCACTTTATTATCGTATACTTTCTAAAGCAAGCAAGTAAAGAACACGTGGAATTCTTTAATGCATGTTTGTTGATGGTTAGAGAATCTCTCTACATGCACTGGTTCAGGCTGGTGCTCTGGCTCAGCGGTGTGGCAAGCGCCGGGTGACTCAGACGGCACGTGTAGGTTCTCCCGGAGCTCCAGCGCTGCTTACTGAGCTTCAGAACGCTGGTCTGGGAGAAGGTGCCATCGGCCTGACGCTGATACGGAGCCGTCTGCACCTCGTCCCCCGTCACGCCGCTGCTGTCCTCAGACCAGGACATGGTGACACCGTCAGGGTAAAAGCCCTGAGCCACACACACCACACTGACATCACCCTCAGAGAGCGGAGAAGCAGGAGGAGCCAGCAGGAGCAGAGACGGAGGAGGCGACGGACGATCAGATATCACTACAGGGACAAAACTTTGATTTAACGTGGCACCATCATCAAGGAACACTGTTGCTGTTCTTCACTCACTTGTAAGTTTACTCAGTACTAAATAGTCTACTAAGGCTTGTGTCTGTTAAGGATAAAATCAATTAGGATCAAAGTTGGATTAAAAAGTAGATTCAGTGGATTTGCAGAGGTTTCAAGACTTAATAATGCTGATTAACTTCTCTATTAATTAGTATGCCTAATTATTACTTACAGTGTATTGCAGTGCTTCATTATTTACTTGCTCGTTATTTTACAAAATGTCATTTTAAATGTTTTATCATTATTGCTTCTCATTCGATTTGCTTTTTTTTTTTTTTTTTTTGTCATGTTATTTTTTTATATTTAGCTCCATTCAAAAGATTTTGGGCATCAGCCTGATGTCCACGTCTATGCAAAAGGGCACAGACTTCATTTTTTATTTAATATATTCATTCATTCATTTTTATATTTAATAATAATAAATAATTACATATATTAAAATGCATATTATCAATAGTGTTTAAAATGCCATGAAGGCTTTTGTTTAATAAAAATAAAACAAGTAAAACATGGGATTGTAAAAATTGGAGTGTAGGTTTTTGACTTATGACATTTTTGACTTAAAATCAATATATTATTATTATTAAAAATAATTAAAATTGTAAATTTTTGCCAGCTGTAAGATGATTTTTTTTTTATTAAAAAAAAAAAAAAAAGATTAACTTCTGTCAATCATGTACTTATTCATCCATGTTGACCTAAAGTTGACCTAAACATTGAAATAAGGATTAAATCGATAAAACAAATTTTTGCTTACCAAGGTTGGTGCCTTGAGCAAACACATAGGCTCACGGTGTTAGAGCTCAGTACAAAAACCTCAGCGCTGTAATCTGAGCACTTCACCGCTCCTGAACATGGACAAAAGAGCAGAAAGTTTAGCGTATTTAGTGCAGAGCATATTTCGAAGGCTTGCTAACACTCTCTATAAAGCCTGTATTCATTATCTCTGATCTGTGTGAAGTGATGAATCATGTGTAAAATTCAGTGTGAGAAATGAATCGTGTGAAAATGAATGAATCACATGAATCAACACATGATTTTCAACTTGGTGACAATGTTCAACAAAACTTAGTACGTTGTGCATTAAAGAATAATGTGTAGCATGGAGATTTCTGAGCACACACTTCAGAGGAGGTCATGCAGGAGGTTTTTGTACGACGGCTCTGTTGGACTGGAGCACTGTGGCTCCTGCACAGCCAATACAAGCACAGTAATAAACTGCTTCATCTTCAGCTCTCACTCCATCGATGGTCAGATAATCCTGATTGCCCGAGTGAACCTGTCGGGTAAATCGCTCGCTCTTGTGTTGTTAAAAAACAGAAACTGAGGAGGAGCACCGGCTTTTTGTTGGTACCATGAAATGTAATACTTATCATCTTCTGCAATGCAGAGTATCGACACCTTGTCACCCAGTTTCACCGACTTGGACTTCTCCTGACTCAAATTATACGCCGTTAAACCTGAAAGACATGAGAAGGACATGAATGTTAAATAAGTGCACTAATTTGGACTTGTATACTAAAAAAAATATATAAAATAACAGGAGCTCTGCTTCATCTCATCATTGCGTCGTTGATTACTCTGCTATGGCCGAATGCCCACAAGTGGTTTACTCCTTAAGTCATTTTATAATTTGTAAGTTAATAATAGCGTTGTTTGATAGTGATAGTCTTACCGGTCAGGGAGAGCAGGAGTCCAGTGACCGACAAAGCGTTCAGGATCATCATGGCTTTACCTTGTGTATGATCAGAGAAGATCTGAGAGCATTCAGATACATAGGTCTTTTATGTAAAAAAAAAAAAAGTAGCTTACACACAGAGAGAGAGAGAGCAAAAAAAGAGAAGCAGGTGGTGGGAGTGTGTTTCAGTTCCTCATCCTTTCTGAATCTCTGTGCCGTTTCTTAATATAGCTAAAGGGGAGAAACCCAAGTACTCTGCACACCTGCACAGATCAACCCCCTCACACACACACACACACACACACACACACACACACACAAGAAGTAACCATGCATGAGATCTGCTTCGCATATGCATTTTGCATAATTATCTGAATCTTACCCTTACAGCTTTATATTATCATTTATATGTTGCTATGAATTAAATATATTATGTGTTATATTATTCGACCACGATGCTGTGGCTATTAGAGGACCACGAACACACACTGTGCATAGAAAAAGATGAGCGTTTGTTGAAGGAGTGTGTATTGCAAGTATTCACCTCCTCTTGAAATTCTACAATTTGCTCTTCGTTTTTCAAGATGCTTGTGGTTCAGGTATGGTCTCTAACAAAATCTGGGTTCTTCCAGGAGCAGGTGAGGTTACACTTTAAACAGCAGATGTGAATACTTATGCAATCATTTATGATGATGATGGTTATTATTATTATTATTATTAATAAAACAGCTTTTCGTGTTATAAAGAACCACACACTGATGTCCTGGAGATCTTCTAAGAAAACTTAAAAGATACTGCTTTGACAGCGACAAAGTGTTGACACTGGAGACTCCTTCCAAATGTTTCAAGCCAAAGCATAAATAATATAAAGTCATTTTGGCTTCATTTAGCATCAAAGGTCCCCTGAAGTGCCTTGAAACACGCAGCATTATTCTATGTGGTGACCTAATTTCAACTGAAACAGGAAGACAGGGCGGGACATATCGAGAAGCCCCACCCCCTTTTTAAAAAAAGCCAATAGCGGTTTTTTATGAAATTAACAGATTTTATAATCGATGCATCGTCATATACAAGTCTAATATATATATATATATATATATATATATATATAT